CACTGGACCAGATGGTGACAGATGGGGTGCAGCTGTCTCAAAGGGGAATAAAGGTTTCTTGCCCATGAATTGGCAGGGCTCATCAAGGGGGCTTTAAACTATGTTTGAAGGGGGAAGGAGGCAAAACCAACAAATGCCCAGAGCCTAGAGAAGAATCACAGGAAAACACCTGGCAAGCAAAACAAGAGAATTCCAGCTCCTTCAATCCACAAGCCAACTTCATCAGGGGCCCATTTTAAATCCCTCTATACAAACACACCGAGCATGGACAATAAACAAGAGGAGCTAGGGGCGTGTGCACGAACGAGGGGCTATGACCTCACTGGCATTGTGGAGACATGGTGGGATGGCTCCTATGACTGGAGTGCCATAATGGAAGGATACAGGCTCTTTAGGAAAGACAGGCAGGGGAGATGTGAAAGGGGGGTTGCTCTCTATGTCAGAGACCAGCTGGCATGTGTGGAACTCCACCTGGGGATGGATGAGGAGCTGACAGAGAGCTTATGGGTCAGGATTAAAGGTCAGGCAGGAAGAGGGATATTATAGTGGGAGTCTGCTACAGGCCACCTGGTCAGGACAAGCGAGTGGATGAGGCCCTCTACAGGCAGATATCAGCAGCCTCACAGTGACAAATTCTTGTCCTCATGGGGGACTTCAACCACCCCAATATATGTTGGAAAGACAACGCAGTAGGGCACAAGCAAGCCAGGAGGTTCCTGGAATGTGTCAATGACAAATTCCTTCTCCAAGTGATAGAGGAGACAAAGATGAGGGTTGCCATGGCAAGATCATGGAGCAGATCCTCCTGGAATCCATGCTCAGGCACATGGAAAATGAAAAGGTGATTGGTGACAGCCACCACGGCTTCACCAAGAGCACATCATGCCTGATGCATCTGGTGGCCTTTTATGATGGGGTCATGAAATTGGTGGATAAAGGAAGGGCAACCGATGTCATCTACCTGAACTTGTGCAAAGCCTTCAATACCATCCCACATGACATCCTTGTCTCTAAACTGGAGAGGCATGGAATTGGTGGATGGACTGCTCGGTGGGTAAAGAACTGGCTTGATGGTCACACTCAAAGAGTTGTGGTCAACAGTTCGATATCTGAGTGGAGACCAATGACAAGTGGTGTTCCTCAGGGGTCGGTGTTGGGACCAGTGCTGTTTAAAATCTTTGTCAGGGACATGGATGGTGGGATTGAGTGCACCCTCAGCAAGTTTGCTGATGACACCAAGCTGTGTGGTGCAGTCAACATGCTGGAGGGAAGAGATGTCATCCAGAGGGACATGGACAGGCTGGAGAGGTGCACCTGTGTCAACCTCATGAAGTTCAACAAGACCAGGTGCAAGGTCCTGCACATGGGTCGGGGCAGTCCCAAGCACAAATACAGGCTGGACAGAGAATGGATTGAGAGCCCTGAGGAGAAGGACTTAGGGGTAATGGTGGATGAAAAGCTGGACATGAGCCAGCAGTGTGTGCACTGGCAGCCCAGAAAGCCAACCGTATCCTGGGCTGTATCCAG